GAACCTAGCAGCTCTGCACTGCCCAGCCTGCCTCCTCCACCAGGATGCAGGCAACCCACCACCATGCCAGCTTCAGCCAGTAGCCAGTACCTGGGGACTGTGAGGATGAGGAAGTGAGATGGCAAGGGGCACCCTGAGCATAGAGAATCCCTATGGGAAATTAACCTCATATAGCTAAGGCAGATTGGTGCCACAGCTAGCGTACAAGCTGGGGACCCTGGGCCACCATGGGACTTGGGCAAGGCAATTGCCTTGCCTCCGTTTCCCCCTCTTAAAATGAAGGTGCTGGATCCTGGCCCATATCAGACCTGGAGCTGGACCCCTGCGTGTTGGCAGGATGCACTGAGACCCTCAGAGGGAGGGCAGTGTCAAAGCACAGTGCGCTATGATTAACCTGCCAGGCGCCTCTACCTAGACTGGCCTCCTCCCTAGGGAATACCCCCTGCCCTCCCAGAGGGCATCGCTGCAGAATTTCTCCAGACCAGCCGAGCTCATCTCCCTCAAATCCCCCTGCAAGCCCGGCTCTCTCCAACACTGCACCTGAGCTGCCTTGCTGGACAAAAGCATCCTCAAGTGAACCCCAAAGACCAAAAGGGGCAGACTGTCCCCTATGGGTGATCGGCAAGAACCTCATTACCCCCTGCAGGGATCCCACTGCTTCTATTACGATGAGAAATCGAATATGGAACTGCTGGGGAGAGATAAGGGAATCTGTAACAAACGTCTGGGATTGTGCGGCAAGTGAATGAGAGTCCACAGAGCCGTGCCGAGAGCGGGAACCTGCTGACATCCGTAATTTCACCAAATAAACACAAACAACCCTCAAATAGGGCTGGGTGCGTTGGTGGGAGGGGTGCTGGCTGCAGCAAGAGCTTGGGTCCCAGGTCTGCAATAGGGAGGTAAGGAGGAGAGCCAGTGCTCCTGGGCTCTATTCAGGGATCTAGGAGAGAGTGTCACCTAGTGATTATAGCATGGAACTGGCGCTCGGATCCACTTACTTCTGCTCCCCGTTCTGCTAATGACTGTAGCAGCCTTGTTAGCTCTCTGGAGAGGCCAGTGGTAGGACAATATGAAATTTAGCAGTAATAGGAGCAAGCAGCATGGGCTAAAGCTTGGGCTGGATGAAGGGACCAGCAGCCCCTTTATATGCTGCTGCTTTATATGTTGCTGCTCTGATTCCAGCACATCCCTTGCAGTGCTGGGCAAACAGACTTTTCCCTGCCCCTCTAGGCACTGACAGCATCATCCACTGGGCTCTTTATCACCTATGACAATGGGAGAGGCAGCAAGAACCTCCTCAAGCCGTCAGACTGCAGGCTGAGAAAATCCCCTTCTAACTTGAGCATGGGAAGGGCTAAAGATGGAGCATCCCAATGACACTGCTGCCAGACTCATCCCAAGCCTGTTCCAGGCTGATCCTGCAATCTGCTGCCAGGCCTTCTCATTTACCAGAGGGCATGATCAGAAAGCTGATGCTCTTCTCCCTGTCTCCTGGCTAGAGGATTTGGCTTGCGTGCTTGGTAGCTCAGTACTTAACGCACTGGTGTTGCAAAGCCAGGGTCATGAGTGCAAGTCTGTCGAAGAGCTGATTATTGTAGTTGCTCAAATTCTATAGCAGTAGACAGCAGCATGAGAACAGGGGCGAATTAATGGCTTTTCATTATCAAAATAGAGGACGCATGGCTTTGTGCCTAAAGCACTGCGACCCTGGAAACCTGGAGTTGACTCCTATCCCTGCCATGGACAGAGTGTGTGATTTTAAGGCAATTCTCCTAGGCTCTGCCTACACTAGATAGTGCTTGACTGCTTCACCTCTATGGTGCAGTTAAAGCTGTATGACCCCCTCGTGTGGGTGAAGTTATGTTGGTGTAGATAAACTCATTGGTAGGCTGGTGGAGCTATTCCACTTGCTCTGAGTGTGCATTAATGAGAACTGCATTGGCAGGGGAGTTGCAGCAATCTGCACTTGCACAGGTGTGACTTCCAATCTTCACCCCAGCCTTTCTCTCCCCATGCCTTGCTTTCCTATCTCTAAAATGGAGACTGGGATCCTTCCTTTCTCCCACACTTTCTTTTGCCTACTTAGACTGGAAGGCCTATGAGAGGGAATATGGATGACTGGAAGGGATTCCTATAGCTCTTCAGTGCCAGCCCCCCATATTGGACTATGCCATCCCTGACAGACACTTGTCTAAGCTGCTCTTAGAAACCTCCAGTGATGAGGGAAGTGGTTGTATATAAAAGCACAGGAAAAAAACTGGCTGAGAGTAAAAGTGGTGTCTCTTTCTGTGAATCATGCCTGCAACGTGAGGGCTCTGGGTCACGTGCCTGACCTTCAGCTGAATAAGAGATGCCCACCCAGCAGAGACATCACCCATGGGGACAGACCCATTTCCAACCATTAGTGGAGAGGGGGTGTGCTCAGCTCTCCACACTCATCCAAAGGCGATTGAAGTCAAGGGGGACAATATTGAAGTCAATGGATTTACTCTGATGTATGCCAGCCAAAGGGGATGGGAAAGAAAAAAGAAGGCAAGAAAATTGCAGGGTGTTGGAGAACAAACCCTGGGGGAAGTGTGGAAAAGCAGAGTTAAAAACATAAACAGTGGTGCGTAGATGGGAAGCCAGGCATCCCCAGGGAGCCCAGCGCACAAGCACTTCAGAGCACTGCCGACTTCAAACCCAGCGCTTTGTCATTAATTTATCGGAGGGAGGTGGAACATCTGAGGCAGCAACAGTGCTTTGCTCGGGATGGAAGGAGATAGCTACTTAGGGCTGGTGCTTACGTGTGGAGGGGTCGGGGTTGAGAGCCAGGGCACCTGGGTTCTCGTTCCTGTTTAAAAACAAAGTGTGCTTTCCAGCAATTTGAGCAAGTGGGGGTCTAGGGGTCCAGGCTCCTGGGTTTTCTTTCCAGGATAAGGAGGAGAGAGTGAACGCAATGGTCAAAGCAAGGACTCCTGGGCTTTATTTGCAGGGTAGGGACAGACACATTAGCCTCGTGATGAGAACAAAGGGACTTGGGAGCAGAGTGTGAGCAGAGCCTCCCACATCCACCCCTCAAAGGTACCAGTAGTTCCCTTCACTCTTTGGCTGCTGCTGCAATCCAAGCATCCAGCAAACAACAGAAGCATGCACGCTACCCAGAGCACATGCCCTGTCATGGAGGAAAGCAGGAGCCAGGCTGCAGCAGAGGAGCACAGCTCTAAGGCTGACTCACCTGGCAAGCAGGTATCTGAACCTGCCCACTCCAGGCATCATGGGGAGTCACCTCTTCACTCCACCCGCACTGAAGGGACGCAGGTGTGGCTTCTGGTCAGACCAGTCCATGGGCAGAAAGGGCTTAGGGAGCACTGCAGCAGCCAGGCATGGCGAGCTGGCTGGCCACGGGGTTTATGTTCGGTTGTTGCCAGGGTTCCTGATTAAAGCCAAGCCCAGGAAATGGGAGCATCTGACCTTTGGCAGCGTCTGGCTTGCTGCTGGCTCACAGAGACCACTGTGAGGGTCAGGCACTATCACTTGATAATCTGGGACAGAGGTCCTGTTTCGAGCTGAGTGCCTCGCCGCTGCACTGGCCCTATATCCCAGACACGTCCCATTCCTCGGCTTGCTCCTGCTCCCACGTAACACAGCACTCCTAACGCAGCAAAGGTGCCGGGGGATTCTGCAGGACCCCGTGGACCAGCGTAGGTTTGCAAATGTCAAAGCCAGGCTTATGTCAGGGCTAAAGCCCTGGACCCCAAAATCCCAGGCCTTTTGCTGCCCAGTCCGTGCCTCAGCACCCCCAGAGCTGGGGACTCAGCCCTTTCTGGAGAAAAGGGACAGCCCTGGTGCTCCAACCCACAGCTGATGGTCCCCCTTACTCACTTCCAGGGATGGGGGTCATAGCAGTTCCTAAGACAAACCCAGAGCTGAGCACTAGTGTCTGCAACCTCGGGTACCCCTCGCATCATTCACCCCACATGCTTTGACTCCACTGGCCCTTTCCAAACAGCTTGTTCAGGGAGTTCTGCGGGTTTCTTTCCCCTGCCCCTCCTTCCTTACTTCCCTCCCGATTTTGGTCCTGAAGCTCATGGCTAATCATGTTATCTGGAGCCCTGCTGCAGCAACAGCGCAGTCCTCTTCCCCACGCAGCTGGGCCGAGCCCCGTACCACGGGCCAACAGTGCCCTCCAGTGGGAGCCAGTTGGGATGGCTACCCATACGCTGCCAACTTGCAAAGGACACTGTGGGCTGAGATGCGACTCACCAAGGTGCTTAGGAGAAGGGGTAGGCTGAGCACCAGCTTTCTTCTGGCTGCACCCTTGCCCTCTGCCTACAGACATACATCTGGGTAAAGTATATGTTCGGTGTGTCTGAGGCACCTGGTTTCACCTCTAGCCCCAGCAGTTCCAGTGCTCAGAACCCATGGGGCTTTGTGTTCAAGTTGAACTTGAGCCTTGGCATGCAATTTGGGGCACAGGTTACTGGGAAGTGAGGGCACCCCTGTATTGGGAATGCAGGTAAGACAAGCACTTGCCTGGGATGGTTCAGGTAATGGTGAGCCTGCCTGGAGCAACAGGGTGCACCTATTCTAGGGCTCTATGTTTGCTTTGCTTTGGTCCTCCCTGCCAGACACAATGAGGCAACCTGTTCTGGGATTCACCCTGCAGGTGCAGATGCACCCATTGGAGCAGCCAGATACAGGTTGCACAGGTAGGTTTCACCCAGCCCTGCTTGAGCCAGCAACCCACTTAGCAGCCCCATGGTGTCAGCACTGTCATTGCACCGAATCCTCTCCTGCCATCACCATCCCAGCAGAGATGTCCCTGACTTGCTCTGCAGGGAGCCATACCTATGTGGACCTTGAGCCATCCCATCTGAGCCACTCCAGCTCACACAGGCCTGATGGGCCTGCCTCTCTCTGTTGCTTTCAACTTTTTTCCCCTGAAGCTTCGTGCACAGGATGACTGGGGAGGCCTGTGATGCCACCTGACAGCCAGGGCTGTAATGAGGGAAGAAGGCTGATTTACAAGCTGTGTTTAATAGAGGTGCCTGGAAAAGGGATGGGGATTACTAGGATCTGAGAGGGTTGTTATATGTTAGCTGCCACCTGTGTGCTCAGTCCTGTACTCAGTAAGGCATGGTCCCTGCCCTTAATACGCAGTAAAGGGCACTAGGACCATGCCCCTCTGCTGCAGAGCCAGGCCTTCAGTCACTAGCGAGATAAGTTTGGCAGCCTCAACTTTCCCCTTGAGGACCATGTACAAAGCAAAGGCTCGGAAGAATGCCACCGTCAGGCCCTCGCCGGAGCTGGGGAGCTGGCACCACTGGAGGGCAGGGACAAGTGAAACCTGGGAAGTCTCTGCTCCCTTCTCTCCTCTCTCCTTTCACTGCAAGCTCTTCTTTTTGGTGAACCTCAGGGCCACATTGTCATAGTCGGTGTCCCCAAGCCACTCCTTCCCCTGCCCTGGGACCTGGCGCATGCTGGACACAGCCCTCTTGGGCACTGAGTAGTCATCCCGCTGGGAGCTGTAGGGGTACTCATGGCCAGTGGGGTCCTCTGCCATTGCCTGCAGCTTCCAGGCCTCGCCTTTGACCTCCTCAGGCTCGTCATACACCATGTGGAGAGACAAACTCTCCGGCTCATCGTAGATGTGGTCAGGCTTGGCTCTGGCAGGGGGCACAGGTGGCGTGATCTGGTTCTTCCCACTGGCCTCCTTGATGCTGTGGTACAGTGGGTACAGAGTGGGTTTTGATGTCTTCTCCAAGCTGCTGAGGAAGCTGTTGAAGTCAGAACCCATAAAGGACTTGGCAATGGTGTCAAAGGGCACAGCATAGTCTGAATCCGGGGCCCCTCTCCCCTCAGTCCCCTTGTTCTTGGCTGCACTGGGGCGACCGGAGTCTGTCCACTGGAGGGTGTCACATGGCTCTGAGTAGGGGCTCTCAGCCTCCATGCGTGGGACGAAGCCACCCTTGGTCTCCCCAGTGAAAGAGCCACTGTTGGTAGACTTCATGCACTTCCCCTTGCTTGGCTTCTCTTCCCAGTTGAACTCTGAGGAGAGGCACTTGATGCTGCCTGAAGGGTGGAGCCAGGGCCCCCCAGGTGCCTTGGCTTTGTCGTTGGCAGCCCTCTCCTCACTATTCTTGGTCCGGCTCAGGGTGCGGATGGGAGCCCATGAGGTGTCTTCAGGGGGGCCGGGCCCTTGCAAGTCATCCATCCCATAGGCCTTCTGTGCATCGATGGCTAACTCAATGACCTGGAAGATCTCATTGCCCTGCCTGGTCTCAAATTCGAAGTTGCCTTCCCCGGATGCACACCTCCGTCCGGCTTCAAAGGAGAATGTCACCTGGTTTGGGGAGAGTCAAAGAGGGGGTCACACTCCCAATACTGGAGATGCACCCCTTACGCACACTGTGGATAACAACCTACAGCTGCACCAGTTAGCTGGAGGTAGACAGGCCTGTGCTAGGGATCTGCGGGTCCCGATGCAGACCGGCTGAAGGTTTATACTCATTTACATTCTGCTTTCCCCCCAGAGCCCTATTTGTGCCATGCGAGTGAGTTTCTCACATCTCTGCCTGTGGTATTTCTTGCCAAGAAAGCTGTCCCTGCCTGCCTTGGCATAACCCCTGCAAGAGGAACAGGAGTGATCTGATACAGACTGGGGCCCAGTCTCATTGCTGGTGTTCAAGCTGTGTTTGTGGGGATACCACAGCTTCCCCCACCACTAGCAGCTGTAGGAAGCAGTGTGGGTGGGGTGTCTCATCCCATCTTAGCCATTTTTGCTTGCAAGAGCAGTGGCTGAGGAGGGGACAAGCCAACGAGACCAGTGCCAGGCTCTGCCCACATGAAGCACTGGAGGCAGCGAGAAGGAGCACTGGCTCTGGCGCAAGGCGCTCCCAGACACTCCAGCTCAGCCACTCGGACTGGAAGGTATTTGAGTGTTGACTCCTCTCCCACTTGAGGCCCTGATTCTCATGCTGCCCCCACAAACCCAACACCTAAGCACTGTTCCTCCTTGCCCCCAGTCCATGTGGGTTACCTTATCCCGCCCGAATCTCCGCAGGAGCTTGTACGGCCAGGTGTAGAGGACACTCCCCGTCTCATCATCCTGCAGCTCCAGGGCATCATCCGTGGCCCTCAGGAGGAAACTGCCCCAGAGGTTGCAGCGCTCTGAGGACTCGGTGGCCCGTATGATCACACTGAACTCCCTTGTGGCACCTGCTGCTGCAAAGGAACACGCATGAAGCATGACACTGCCAGTGCAACTCAGCACTGCATAGGATGTGAGCTCCCCAAGCTCCCGATCACGCAGCCAGAGGACAAATACCATCCATCACATCTCCTGCTAATGTTGTAGGATGGAGGCAAGGGGAGCAGATTACCCTCAGGCCTGGCTGTGTTCTGTGGGAGGCATCTGGACCAAGCTGGGCTCGACACAGCACTCAGGGCACCCAGTCCAGTACTTCGGGGGAAGCAGGGACCTTTCAGTGGAAAACCAGCTGCCTAGATTCCTCCTGCCCTCCATGTGCCCGCTGCCCCTGCTTAGGTGCACATGATCTGCCTGCAGCAGTAGCTCTACTCTGTACCCCACTTGACCCGCTGCAGCACAGCTGGCAGAGCGCAAAGCGATTGTCATGGCATTTCCTCCCAACACCCACCACAACCTTCCTGTCCCTGCCAGGGCTCCCTCCAGGCACAGCAGATTCAAAGGCTCCTGCCACCAGCCCACTTGATGTCCTGGAAAGCCTCTCTGCAGGTGCTGTAATGACAGCAAGGCCTCTCTGCAAGGTCAGTGGAGCTGGAGGCCCCTCTCACTGAACAACTGAAGCAGAGGAAACTTCGGAAAAATACTTGTTGTAAGGGCTGACACTGACTCACCCTGACTCACCGCTGCTCCCGAGGCAATCCCATGGGGTAATAGCCCCAGTGTGATGGTGAAGCAGGCTACCAGGGGTGCTAAACCCTGGGGTCTCATCCCAATTCCAGCTTAGGCAATTCCCTTCCCAGGCTCCCTGCATTCCCCCAGAAGGTCTAAGGCGCTGCGTGCTGTTACTGCACTTCCAGTACCCAGCTGCAGGTTCTGCCCCAGAGGGGGCTGCATTTAAAAGGGAGAATCCAGTGACAAGTTTGCCAAGAGCTTGGGGATGCTTGGACATGAAGAACCCTGAGAAGACAAGCAAGAGGGCAAAACCAGGGTGAGCCGCCTGTCTCTCCAAAGCCTTGTCTAATGCCTTCCACCTAGGAGCAAGCCCGGCATCCCCATGCCAGATTCAACATCTCTCTTTATCCAGTCATGTTAATGACAGCTCCATGAAAGAGCAGAGCAACAGGCCACACAACCAAGGTCTGTTCCTACCTCCCCACAGCCTCTTACCACCTCCATTCAGCCTGGTGCAGGCCTAGCACCGGCAGCACTTTGCTGCAAGCTGTGTTCCAGCTCATTCCCCTTCTGGCTTATCTGCTCCCTGCCAGGCACCCCTCCCTGCTTTCCTCAGCCCTATCTGGATGTGGGAGGCTGCCTGCTGGCTGATGGCATCACAGATAAGCAGCCTCCAGATGCAGGATTGAGGATATTCCTCTCCTTCGGAGGGGGAAATGAAAAAGCAACTCCCTGCTTGAGACAGAGACAGGATGGAAGGAGATGAAAGAAAGAGGTGCAGGTTGGATGGAGGCCTTGGGCCTGATTCCCCCTTAGGGTTGCCCCTGGCATGGATTGGTCCCACTGCTCTCATTTATCTGCATTGAACTCCTGCATGCAAGAGACTTTCACTGCATGTCTGAGAGGGAGCGTTCCTGTGAGCTGCGCATGCTTGTGCCCGGGGGTGTGTGCAGTTGTGTGAGCGTGTCCATGTACATGATTCGTGAGTGTGTGCAGTGCTTCCTATGCACACGTGAGTGTGAGTGAGCCATTAGCTGGGCATGCCTGTCAGTACAGGCCAGCCGGGGTGCCCCCCTGCAGGGCAGGCATTGATTTTCTTCCGCTAGGCAGCAGGCAGGCTGTGCCCTGTGACAAAGTTATTCTCCACTCCTGGCTCTCTCACTAAATTGGTCCTGAAAAGTGTCCCCACGTCTGCTGCAGAGGCTGCCACTGCATAGGGAGCTTTGTTCATTAGCAGGCAGGAAGCTTGCAGCAAGTCACTGTTTGCGTGAGCTGGTGAAGTGACCCCAGGCCGAGAGTGCAGCAAGCTGCTGTTGTGCTTGTAGACAGAACCATCTGCCCCCCTAGTAGCACTCAGGACAGATGCAAACCAAGGGGTACAGAGGTTGGAACGAAAAAAAGAGAAGCCCTTCTGGTCGCTGCATTTCCTCCCCTGGCATCAGAGCCTCCCTATGCTCTTTGCGGGGGCGGCTCTGTCTCCTTACGCCATTGCACAAACAAGATGCAGAGCAGTGAATCAGCAGCACGCCCAAGGACCTGACCCTCCCACCTGCCTACACATCCAGCCCGACCCTCCTGCCAGCTGGGCTGCTTGGCATGCAGAGGGAACAGCTCGGTGCAAAGTATTGTGGGACTGAGAGCATGAGATCACTGCCTTGAGTCACTACCCAGAGCAGCACGACCAAGAAGTGGAGCTGGCTTGGGAAATAGTGTCCGACTGATAAAGCGGCTGAATGCTATGGACAGCTGGGAGTGGCCAGTTATCGCAACGAAATGCTGATCTGCCAAACCACAGCAGGAAGAGCACAAGGGCTATTTGTGAAATGAGATTTCCATGACGTTTTTTGCAAACAGCAGGGCCAGGCTATCATTGCAGCCATTTTCAAATGCACAATTAGCAGCATTGTTTAAAAGCAGAGAAGGCACCTAGTCTGAATGGTGCACCGAGAGGGGCTGTCCTCTGCTCCCTCTCCCTCCCTGGTTCAAGTGAGACAGCAAGTTGGGCCATGGGACTGCTCTTTCTTGATGTCGAAGACTGCAGCTCCTCTCTCTGTTGGGCCTCATCTATGCACACACATGGTTCCAGTGCTATATCGTATGTTGTGGCTTTAAAGTCATTCCTCAGCTCTCAGGCACATCACAGTCAGGGCATGGCCAAACTGGGCAGCTGCCCGAGGCCCGGAAAGAAAGGGGGCCTGAAAATAGCATTTTTTTCCATTGTCCAATTATTATTATCATTGTCTCTGGCAAAGGGAGGGCCCAATACTAAAAGTTCGCCCGAGGCCACCAGGAGTGTAGGTACAGTACTGATCACAGTTTGTGGCGCAGAGTATCTGGGCTCCACCACCCTGCACCTTCTCCAGTCACTTGCACAAGGGCAAATTGAGTACAGAAACCCAAGGCTGTGACTGGCAAGGGCCAAGCTTCCAGCTGGTGTCCAGGCTGAAACCAACTGCAGTTACTGAAACCAGCTGGAGCGCTGGCTCTGCAGCTCACAATGTGCTAGCAACAGCTGTGCTGGCAATCGGAGAGAACGATGCTGTGCAATGGGGTTCCAGCTCTATGGCGGCTAAAACACATTCAACACTGTCCCCCTAGCCAGGATAACTCCTGGGAGGAAAGAAAGGAGCAAATGAGGGGTGCCTGGAGACCAAGTACATCACACAGCCTGATGGGGAAGCACTGTTACCCTGGGAATCATTGCATCCATTTTATTTGTTCCTGTTAAGGACCAGCAGAAGCATGGTCAGTCTGGTACAGGAGTTCACTGCTGCTCTCTAGACCCACTGGTTGTAGCTTTGCTCCCATGCACTAGTGACTGGGAGAAGATGTCTCTTGCGAGTAGGCTCATGCTGGATTATATTTAGAGAAGGGTCTGAAGGGAGCCCTGCCCTGTGGTCTGCCCTGAGGGAAAGGTCCGCGCATGGAGAACTACAGTGCAGGAGAGCATGGAAAAAAGGTGCAAGCAGCTGGCAAGCAGGGCCCAGTGCAAGACAACAGCCTGATCCAGAACAGGGAAGTCCATAGGAATCTTTCCCAGATGGGTGATGAATCAGGTTCATGGTGCTCTGGGTGACTGAACTCCCAGCCTGCGGCTAGCAGGAGGTTGAAGGTTACCCCGGGGTCCTATGATTCCCAGCAGCTTCTGTGAGGTCTGCAGTTCTATAAATGGCCCACGGGCCATTTATAGATGAGTCACACCCCCCTGTGGTTTCGGAGTCTAACATCCTGCAGTCCCCTGGTGCCCCCTTTTCCTCTCCGCCTCTCTGAAAGAACAAAGCTAACCACTTGAATCGCTTTGCCAGGGCTCTGTCTCTGCCTGCATTGCCTTTGCCCTGCCATGCCTGCTCATCTAGCTAGCTAGATAGTGTCACCATATGCCATTTTTCTGTATAAATGTCACTCTGCACAGTCAATTGTGTGTCTTTTAGTCTAAGGTAGATTTGCCTATTCATCTGTCTTTCTTGCACACAGCCAAGTCTGTCTTAATACCTGCCAAGCTGTCTTGCTCCCAACCTGTGTCCCTGTGAACTCCCGGAGCCAGGCCTGTGGTGTTCGTGCCTACCACCAGACATCAGTTCGGTTCAGGGATAAGGAAAGAAACCAATTTTCTCCACTCTAACACACACACACACTCATGCAGCTCCTGGCCAGAGTCTCTCCTTGCTCCTACCTTTGGCTCTGGAGCTGTACAGTGAGTTCTCCTCCATGGACAGGGTGCAGGCAGTGGATGGCAGGGATCCCAGGTGGCTGTCCTTCCCCCCTGCTGCCATCTGCTCATCCCTGTTCCTCTGCAATGCCAAGGGAAGAGCAGCGGGTGAGTGACCACAGCCCAGACTCCAGCCAGGCTTGGACCTGCTGTGAGCTGTCTCCTCCCCCACACTAAGACTCGGCAAGCAGAACTGCAAAAGAGGATGCCCCCCCCCTGCTTAGCTGCAGCTTCGTGCTCCAGCACAAGAGGCCCCTGGGTCCCCACACTGGGCTGGCCGGGCTCCCAGCACACTCCAGGCAAAATAGGGACTGGAGACTGTAGGAAAGAGACTCCAGGGAGCTGGCTGGAGAGAGCAGCATTGTGCACTGAGAACTGCATGTGCTGGGTCAGGCCAAGCCCGAGCTCAGCACTATGGAGCTACAAAGGGTGGGGAGGAAGAGGACACATGCATTGGGCCCTCCACCTTCCCTGACATCCTTCAGCACCCAACGCCATGGGGCCCCCAGCTCATCCGGAGTCTTCTCCATGCTCCAAGTAACCTCGGATGCCAGCAAGCTGGGGATGCCTTTGCTCCCTTGAGTCTCTGTTCTCTGCTGCTCAGCCTGCTAATGAAGCCCTTGCTGCCTTAGGTTCCTCCATCCCAGATCCTTGGCATCTCAGCCTGCCAAGGGCCCCACTCCCAGCTCCTCCACTCCAGTCTCTTGCCCTCTACATCCCTCTGTCCCCAAGCCCTTGACACCCAACTCTCTACCCCAACCCTCCCCTCTCCACCAGTCTCACCGGGAAGGCCAGCTCACAGAGCTTGTTGATCCAGTCAGCCACCTCCATGCTCTCTGCTGCCAGCAGGTAGCACTTCTCCGTGGTCTCCACAAGGAAGGGGATGGTCTCCTTGGGGCTGCTGGCATCACTGTTGGCCTCCACCACATGCACACAATCGCTCAGCTTGATGAGCTTCTTGCTGCTCTCGCCCTTCTTCAGCTTCTCGGGGGCAGGCGGGCCTGAGCCCTCGAAGAGCTCCAGGCGGGTAGAAGAGCAGGCCGTCTCCCGGTACAACACACCCCAGAACTTTCTCCATTTCTAACAGAGTGGGAAGAAGCAAAAGGAAGAGAGCAAGATGTGTATCAGTCAGCTCCATGTTCTCTATCAGGTTTGTTCCTCATTCTAGCCCCAAGCTGTGCTGTGGGGAGGGGTGCCAGCTGGGGAAATAGGCTGGTCTGAACTAAAGAGGAAAAGAAAACTGCTCCCACTGACATAGTTAAAATGCTTCAAGTTACCATCGGCTGGGAGATAAACTTCCACCAGCTACTGGGTTGAGCTGGGTGCAGTCTTTCAGCCTGGTGTCATAAAGATCAGGCTAGATCATCTCATGGTTCCTTTGGGCATTAGAAGCCATGTGGCACATTAGGGAACATGGCAGGTACCTGAAGGATGCGTGTTTGGCAGGCAGTTTTCAGAACGTGCCTCTGCTCTGCGGGTAGATTCACTGAAATCAGCAAATTTCTGTGCAGAGTTTTGCTTTTGGTGAACCAAGATTTTGTAATGGAAAAACAGCCTTCTAGAAAGTATGTGGCTGCTCTGACTTGGGGCTTCACTGATGCATGGCTGTCGGGTGCTCTGCAGCAGTACAGGCAGACATACTGCCATGTGAAGGCTGTTCTTATCCTGATTTAATCTACAGAAGCTTGCATTTTGGGCCATCGCTCAAAGAAACACCAGCGCTGTCAGGGCTGTCTGTGCGCTGACTTTAAAATAGCTCTGTCATAAGTGCTGCTGCCCAAATGTTGCATGCAGAGATGGGACAACCACTTTTTTGCCAGGTCCTGCGACAACCTTCCTGCTCTGGAGGCCAGTTCTACCCTAACAGCATGATCAAAGGTGCCAAGGCACCTTCTGCTCTTGGCCAGCTGGACAGATCTTGGACAGACCTTGGCCAGTTGGACAGATCTTGGCCTTTTGTGTGCATACACCTCCTGAGTGATCCTGTTAAAGACAACTGCAACAAGCACATGCTGTGTGCTACACAGCTTCCCGTGCTGCCTGCTCAGCTCTCCTGCAGTGTCACCATGTGCTTGGGTTACGCTTTCATGGGGGAGAGGCTGCCTCATGTTATACCTCCCCAGCAGCAGAAGTGTGATGGTTATCTGGTATCCTGCTTGCTTTGCTGATGTGACACCATCTGCCCCACCTGTCTGGCCCAGTACTCAGGATGGGGGGAACACGGAATGGGTGGAGTGACAGAAATTACAAGGGCTGCTCACATGCATGTTTGCAAGCTAAGGAGACATGCTCTGCTATTACCCTGCCTTGCACTGGCATTCACAGGGTTAGAGACACGCACACGCGCCTTCATTCCTGGAGTCAGTTTTATGTGCTGATTTGGTGCTGAATGGCGTCTTTTGCTTATTTAGATAACTGAAGCAAAAGCCAAATGAGCTTCCAGGCATTGCTACTCCCCCCCAGCCCTGGCCAGGAGGACCTTGGAGTTAATGCAGCATCTCCAGCCCCATTCAGGCTGCCAACATGAGGGTTAACTTGGACCATGCCCATATTTTGTGACATGGGTACTTGAGTGCAAGGATCTGGATCAAGACTCCCCTCCCTCACAATCCCTTGCAGGCAAACAGGGAGCAAAAACTTCTCCAGGATCCTTGCCTAACTGGTTGCTCCCCACACAGGCCAGGCTGCATCAGCTGATCTAAAGGAGAAAGAGGCCCCTTGTAGTTCATTCTCCCTTGAGCCATCTGTTCCCCAGCTGGGGTAGCTGAAAAGCACAAGGAGTCTAATTCACTGCCTTCTGCCTTCCAATGCAAAGCAGAAGTAATGGAGGTGATACCTGGGCCAAAGAAAGGGGAAGCTGAAGCTCCGAACTCTGCCTCTTTTACCCTGCTGCCAAGAAGCACACGGGAGAACCAGACACTGCTTACTGCTGAGAGTGAGACTGGCACTCAGCTCTATCCATCAGGGGTGTTTTCTACTTTTTATCAACTGATGATTTAGCCCCAGGGTCTGTCTGGACCTGGGCCCAAGATACAAAACTTGCCACCGGTCCTGTACTGCCTGGGAGCCTGCAGGGGTATTGGAGCCACAACCCCAGTGAGGACCTGTCCCTATTCACCCCAGCATGGGTACGCAGCTGCCTGATGTGTCTCTATGTTCTTGTCTGAAAGGTCAGCTTCCCCAGCTCGGGGCAAGAAGTTTCACTGCAGCTGGAGATTATTTCCTTTTTTGGCCTCGCCACTGCGGTCCAGAGCAGCCTTTCCATGACCTAGCGTGTGCTGCAAGAAGATGAAAGACAGCAGTCGGGGTGTTCAGCTTGAAGAGGAGCTCTTGGCAACACACGCCTGGCTCAAATCCAGCCAACAATCTCTTGAGACCCATCCAGCTAGCTCCGCTGGAAGCAAGGAGACCCCTGCAATGGTGCAGGGTGGGGCTGAACCAGGGAAGTACAGTACAGAGGAGATGGGGAGCAAGGGCCTCCGAACTGCTGCAGCACAGGCTGTGAGTGGTAGACTTGTGGGGTGGGAGTATCTCCCCTGGAGTGAGGACCATCAACCTGAACCCTACCCTCCAGGGGGCACAGACCATCTCTCCGTCTGCCTGGGGAGCCTCGGGCTGAACCTACACAGAGCTGAGGAGCTGCTTATGCTAGGCTGCCATGGCAAGAGTCACAGGGCTTCCCACAAGGGGAAGCAAGAGTCATTCTCCCAAGTCACAGGGCTCCCCACAAGGGGAAGCAAGATCCCACCGACACCCTGCTGTAACCTGGCTAGTCACCAGTTCAGCAGAAGCCAGAATAACCAGGGCAGACAGAAGGGCACCTCAAGAAGCTGCAACTGGGCAAGGGATCCCATAGATTGGCTGTGCGGGGAGCTCATAGGGCTGGGGATGCATCTCCCAAGGGAGTCCCATGCCTGGCACAAGTAAAGCCCCTGGAAAACCAGCCAGATTCTCTGACTCCAGGGAGATTCCCTGCCTGGATGCTGAAGACAGGGCACCATGGGGGCAGCCCGGTTCTCAAGGGACAAGGTGGAACACAAGGGGCCATCTGCATGGAGGATGGAGGAAGCCAGGGGTCCGGGCTAGGCTTGGGACCCCCAGCCAGAGGCCCACTGCTCCTCTGCCCTGTGATCACCCCCTGGTCCTTACCTTCCCGAAGGTCTGCTGCTGTTGGAGGTAGAGCAAGCCCCGCTTTACAACCACCTCATCCATTTTCCAGCCACGGGCATCCTCTCTGCACCCCACTGCCCTGCACACCTCTCCCCCCTGCCACCACCTGCTTCTCGTTCAGCCCTATCTGCTCTCCACCTGGCCTCACATTTTTCACCTACCACACACAACCCCGTCCACTCTGCTCTGTGCCCCAGTCTGGTCCTGGCTCCCACCCCAGCTATTTAACTCTTTC